GATATGGTTTCTGTGGTAAAATGCACTGCATGTATGCATTAAATTACCATAATACCATTATGATAGGAAGATGGTCACACAGCCCTGTCATGTAGTCCTAAACATGGAATATGGTTTCTGTGGTAAAATGCACTGCATGTATGCATTAAATTACCATAATACCATTATGATAGGAAGATGGTCACACAGCCCTGTCATGTAGTCCTAAACATGGAAATATGGTTTCTGTGGTAAAATGCACTGCATGTATGCATTAAATTACCATAATACCATTATGATAGGAAGATGGTCACACAGCCCTGTCATGTAGTCCTAAAAATGGAATATGGTTTCTGTGGTAAAATGCACTGTATGAACTATCACACTTGTAATTTGTATATCAAAACTTTTCGGCAAATACGACCGTGAGCTTGTCAGGAGCCTGTTGTCGGGCACAACAAATTTTATATAAAAACAAACATTGCATTATGTGTAGTCAGAATTAGAATTAATTTAAAAACATTTGCTACGTTCACACAACAGCATTTTATCTGAGCCCTACGGCTTGAGCCAGCAAAAATGATCGTGTGTTCGACTCAAGCCAAGTTCGGCTCTAATAAACCCTTGGGTTGAACTTCGATAGGGTTAAGCCCCGATATGGCCCGACTGTGTATACGCAGGGCCCAACTATTGGAGCCTAAATCACGCCCTCAATCGTTTTCTTCAACTTGAAGTAACCTCTCATTTCAATTATGGTGGAGACAACATCGTAACAGTTGAACAATAACTATAGGCTGTAACACATTTTAGCTGCCGTGTTTCCTGTTTATTCGAGATACTATTACCTAAATCATAATACCAGTTCATTGTCTTTTCTACCTCAATGTGTTTCTTCTTTCCTCCCAGATAAACAGAATCGTGCCATGTAAGAAACAACACAAGCTCGACACCAATATCGTTTTCATTCATTTTTTTTATACTAATTATTTTAGTGCATTGCTCTAATCGAACTGAACCGAACTATGGCAGATCTCGGCTCTCGTTTGGCTCCCGACCGTATGAACGCATTGGGGATAATCTCCTGTTAATCCGTGGGAGAAGTAGTTCGGCTCCGGTACAATGCTGCCGTGTGAACATAGCAATTATTTTAGTCAGTTTATCCAGACAGGATTAGATGGTTTGTCAAATATGTGTTTATCTTTATCCTTAATCCCATGAAGTATGCAGTTTATAAACACAATGCAAATCAACTCAACGCTCGTTGTCCGGTCATGAATGGTTTTATTTAAATTCCTAGCATAGTTTTAAAGTCATCGTCTTATTGGGTCGCATAGTCTGAATAAGTGGATTAACTGTTCCTCCAGACAGGGAGCTGAAGACGGTTTTTTAAAGCCTGTACTGTGTAGATGTTTAACCTTTTCACCACCAGTCCCCTTTATGTTATCACAAATTCACAAAATACTGTCAAATAATTTATTTTCACTGGATTTAATTTTCACTGAAAAGACTTTTTGGGTGTTTTGTACGGAAATTATTTTCATTTTGACTAGTTGAATGTAAAATATAGGAAAAAAGGTATATTTGATGGATTTTAATTTTCACTGAATTATTCCTTTAGCGAAAATAGTGAAAATTAATTCCAAGCGAAAATAAAGTACACATGTATTTTACAGTAATCGTGTTTATAGTCTGCGCTTTTTCTTCAGAAGATTGAGACAAATATAGCCAATCTTTTTGATTAAAAAACGGAAATTGACTAAAATTTTGCCTGTTGGCTCCAAAATTAGGGTTCATTTCCAGAATTATCGAAGAATATCAGAAAAAGATGCAGTTAATGGCTGTATGTGTGCATACAGATATTAGAACAACGGTATGAAAGAAAACGTTTTGCAGAGTTCCACAGAAATATATTGAGTTTTAAAAATATGAATATAATTTAACTGGTGAAACACAATAATAAAGTTATTTTCCTTTTGTTTAGCTATTAGTTGTGTAGAAATATATTTAAGAATTGAGCATAATATTAAAAATCTGAAACTATTTTAAGGACTTCCTGTGAGTATGTTATAAAGCTATTTCCCTTCATTTTTGGCGATTTTTAAAATAGATTTTAGTCGGGAAAAACCATTCCCCTTTGTTTTACATTTTATTGGTTAATGACATCTGTGCTTGTAGGATTACATTCAAGGTTCAATGAACAGATCGATAAGGCAGTATTCAACCCAAATCACAAATTTATTTTTGGGTTGTTTCTAATACTGTGGAATACTTTATTTTCGCTGGAATTAATTTTCGCTGAAAAGGCTTTTTAGGCATTTTGTATAGAATTTATTTTCACTGATTTTTGATGAGCTTAATGTGAAATATAAGAAAAAAAGTATATTCGCTGGATTTTATTTTCACGTTATCATCCCTTCAGCGAAAATAGCGAAAATAAATTCCAAGCAAAAATAAAGTATTCTACAGTATTCATTCTTAGGGGGAAAAAAATTATTTCTAAAGTGTACCTTCTAACAGGACTCGTATTTGTAGGAGTCCTGAGCTAAAATAAAAACTGCAAAATAAAAGTTGGTCATGGTAGTGAAAAAAAAAAAAAAAAAAAATATCAAGTTTGTACATGTACCGTCACTATGAAATACTAAATATTCTCGCTTGGAATTATATTTCGCTACTTTTGCTGGAGGAATGACTCGGTGAAAATAAAATTCAGCGAATATACCTTTTTTCCAAAAATCAATGAAAATAAATTCCACACAAAAAACCCAAAATTTCATTTCAGTGAAAATTAATTCCAGCTAAAATAAAGTATGTGGCTGTAGAAAGCAACTGAAAGCGCAAACTAAAATGGTGTGATTGCTAACTTGTGTGTATACAGTAAAATGACTAATTTTCACTGAGTTTAAATTTCACTGATTTACCATTTCAGGCATATTCAGTGGGTTTTAAATTCACAGTTTCGTCATTTAGATAATGTGTTCTATGCTAAATTTTACATATTCACTGGGTTTTAATTTAGCACATTTTCCAGTCAGTGAAATAAGCTAAATTAAAAACCCAGTGAATAATTAATCCTTTTACAGTATGCTAGTTTATATAATAAACCTCTAATTACAGGAATCAGGGCAGCAGGCATTTAAAAGAATGATCACTGTGTTCGTCTGTCACTTTCGCAAATCAATTCCTAGGAGCAAAGATTATGTTAGCATTTTTGTGTAGCGAGTCCCTATAAAAAAATGAAACGGAACTGGCAATATAATCTGTGTGCAAATGTACTAAAGTAGAGGGTCTTTGAAGTGGAGTATGGGTTGATGCAATTCCTGATGGACTTTTTGAACTTAATTATCAATTTTAAAACATTGCTAGCATAATCATTCATACCTATATTGCTAATTTGCATAAAAATATAATTAAAATTACTGTAAATGCATTAATTATTCGCCGGGTTTTAATTATGCTATTTTCGCTGAAAAGTAAAATCTACATGAACATGTGAAATAACAATAAAACTTGTTGTGGCTTTGTAATGTAACAGATTCAAGGTTTTTCTAGAAAAAACTGCAAAAGGGAGCACTGCAATTCAGCAGCGCCACCAAGTGGGGGAGATAGGGTTCTCCCTACCAGGGTGTGGAGTTTTTGATAATTCAAAGTTAAAATGAAGCATTCTA